CCCATAGAGGGAAAGGGCAAAACTTCACTTGACCTTGATTTTCAGTATAAAGATAGACCATGAACCTTGGGCCTCATCATTCTTCTGATCCTCTGAGTTTTAAGCATACGTCAGAAAAGTTACCACAAAGACAACTAATTTGTGGTAAAAAAAAAAAATTGTAAAAAATTTAAAACTTCTGTGTATCAAAATGAAAAGGCAACTCATGGAGTGAGAGAAAATATTTTTAAATAATTTATCTGTGGTAGCTCACAGCTATAATCCTAACACTTTGGGAGGCTGAGGTGGGTGGACTGCTTGAGCTCAGGAGTTCGAGACCAGTCTAAATAAGAGTGAGATCGCATCTCTATCAAAAAATTGAAAAACTGGCTGGGCATTGTGGTGGGCACCTGTAGTCCTAGCTACACAGGAGGCTGAGGCAAGAGGATTGCTTGAGCCCATGAGTTTGATGTTGCTGTGAGCTTTGATGCCATAGCACTCTACAACAAAGTGAGACTCTCAAAACATAACATAAAACATAAATAATTTATACGATAAGTGGCTAATACCCAAAATATATAAGGAACTCCTACAACTCAACAACAAAAAAATTCGATTTTTAAAATGGCCAATTGATGTGAACAAGCATTCCTCCACATACAATATGTTAATACAAATGACCAAAAAGCACAAGAAAAGATGCTCTGAACACAGATAAGAAAAAGAAAAATCAAAGCAATTCCATTATTATTTTGTTAAATGTGATACTTTTTGTTTCACGATAAACATGTAATACTTATACAACTTTTTTCAGTATTCAGTATAAGTAATTAGAAAATATGATTTTCACCCACTACTTTTTGAGTATGATTAAATACTGAATTACTTCCACAGAAAATATAATACTAAAAATCCAAATAACATATCTCCTGTGAGTAAATTTAAACAATCTAGCAAGGTCCAACACATAGTTAAGCTACAAATAAAAGTTTTTTAAAATGTGTCAAAATCAGATGAGAGGTTATATATTTGCTGTCTAGGGATTGGCCTTGCAAACTGGAACTACTCAACATCTAACAAAACCTAAAAGTACTCACTCGACTTTTAGCTACAGGACACGCTTATCACTTACCTTTATTAAGATACTAATAGCGCAAGCCATGCCTACAGCACCAATCCCAACGATAGTGATTTTACGCTGGGCATCTTTTTCTTCCGTAACTAGAGTCTGAATAAGTTGTTCCTTGATAGTTGACATTTGGAGAACCTGATAGGTATAATGCAATTGCAGTGGAATCAAACTTCCTAAATTAAACACGCGCACAGCTAACATGTATTAGCCACACTGAACTACCTTTTTGAGTTTGCAGAATGATGGAGCCGAGGGTGAAGGAGAAAACAAAGATTCTCTAAGGGTAGGGAGAGTAGAGCAGGGGGACCAGTCTATCAATGTTAGGGACCGGGACACCGACAGGCTTTTTGATTTCTCTCTGCCCCCAGCCAGAACGGCCACCCCAGCACCAGACTCTCACAAATGCTTAGCTTGGCGCAACTCTGTACAGATGGCCCGAAAGCGCAAAGCACCACCTTTAAGTAACATACAAAAGTGACAAAAGAGAAATACACCAACAGTTGAGACCAGAAGACAGCCGACGGTTACACTTCCCGGGCCGCTCCGCACGCACGTTCCCACGCACGGCTCTCTTTCGTCAGCCCGCACGCTCCGCCCCCGCCGGCCCACGCGCAGGCGCGATGGCGCATGGTGGCCGCGGCTTGTGGCTTGTGCGGAGTACAGATGCTGCGAACTTCTGCAGCCGCCATAGGAGTGTACAAGATGGGGCTATTGAAGTGTTGTTTCATTTCCTTCAGCCCGCCCAGGCCTAGGGCTTATTTTAGGACGCAGGTTTCTGTGGGGAACCACTACCCACCCGGCCGCTGAAGGACCAGGTTGGAGGTCCCGGTGGAAGGAATACTCCTGGGAGCGCCTGCTGGTCTCAGACTCCTGGGCACAAGCGGTCCCTCCTCCTCGGCCTCCCAACGTGCCGGGATCACGGGCCGGGCGTGGGGGTCACCATGCCTGGCCCGAGGAGCATACTTTCTGATGGTTCATGTTATCACACCTTTGCCCACCCATTTGTTTGCAGGAATTTAAAAAATTCGTAATCTCTGTAACTTTAAGACCTAGTAGTAACTGAAAGGAAAGGTTATGTCTAAGTTTACTACGGATTTTTATTTTTTTTAAGAGACAGCGTCTCACTTTATCGCCGTTGGTAGAGTGCTGTGGCATTACAGCTCACAGCAACCTCCAACTCCTGGGCTTAGGCGATTCTCTTGCCTCAGCCTCCCGAGTAGCTGGGACTACAGGTGTCTGCCACAAGGCCCGGCTATTTTTTTGTTGCAGTTTGGCCGGGGCCAGTTTTGAACCCGCCACCCTCGTTATATGGGGCCGGCACACTACCCACTGAGCCACAGGCGCCACCCTACGGATGCTTTTAATGTACACAGAATTTGTAACAGAATGGGATAAGGGAACAGACCTTCACCTTTTTTTTTTTTTTTTTTTAAGAGACTGTGTCCCCTTCTTGCCTCTTACTGCCCAAGATGGAGTGCATGGACTGCAGTGGCACAATGATTGCTCGCTACAACATCCACTCCTAGGTGAAAGCGATCCTCCTGCCTCAGCCTCTCATGTAGGTTGGACTATGGTGTGCACCCAGGTAATTTTTAAATTTTGTATAGGGACAGAATCACTATGTTGCCCAGACTAGTCACAAACTCTTGTCCTTAAGCAAGCCTCCTGCTTTTGCCTCCCACAACCGTGGGATTACAGGTGGCCTATCTTTTGTGGAGTATTTGCTTTTGAACCCTTTTCAAAATTTAAAGGATAATCCATTTTCCATATATTAGCTATATGAGAATTTATGTATTGTTTGTTTATAAAGTAGTTTAAGTTATGCAATAACCCTGCTTTCTACCTTTCAATGGCTTTCCATTATACTTCGAATAACCAATTTTTACGACAATCTATAAGACCTTCCAGATTTGTCCTACTCCAAGTTCATCTCGGGATACCCATCACGCTCTCTTCCAACTAGGATTTGTACAGCTTTTTCTTTGCTCAGGACTGTTGGTGTTCTCTGTATCTGGAAAGCTCTTCCTCCAGCCCTTCTCAAGATTAATTCTTCATTTTCAGTTTTCTACATTAATGGTAATTTCTCTAGCGTTCTTTGACCATTCTATCAACTATTACCACTTCCTTTGTCTTTCATCTAATTCTCTTATGGCACTTTTCTCAATAAACTACCAACCCCTTAGCAGATAAGGGCAGCAACACCTTGTTAGTCCTGTTCCACCACACCTCATTTGTCACAGGGCTGGGAGAGACTCTCTTGGCCTGCAAATTCAAGCTGTATACCTGCCTCAGGACGCTGGTGCCCAAGATATCATCTTGGCAATGAAAAAACCCTGCTAGGCTCGGCGCCTATAGCTCAACCGGCTAAGGCGCCAGCCACGTACACCTAAGGTGGCAGGTTCGAATCCCCAGCCTGGACCCGCCAAACAACAATGACGGCTGCAACCAAAAAATAGCCGGGCGTTGTGGCGGGCGCCTGTGGTCCCAGC